TAAGACAGTAATGCCACAAGATGGCGACAGAGGGCAGCTCCTCAACAAGTGTCCTCCACACTCTCTCATATGAGCACAGATGGATTTAGTGCGCGTAATGTTGGACCCACTGGTAAGACAAACACCCGTTTCCACAAATAAAGACACTCACATAAAGTTGCTCATATTCAAACCTCACGTGACAAAGGTGGGTTGAGCGCACAGATCACAACATAAACTCCAAAAATGGCATTAAAATCGGAACCATCTGTGCGTAAATGACCCATCGCGCTCCGTGGCCTGGCTCTTTCTTTCATAGATGTTGGCATATAAATAAATTTGGCTCACAAAACTGAATATTATAATATCCGTATGTCGGCTTAAAGTAGATAACGCATCTGAGCACTGAAACAAATCATCTGTTCAGCTGCAGCAGCAGCAAGACGGACAGAGGACACGGAGACGTGTCCAGGTCGAGCTGTGCGAGAAATAAGAGGAAGAGGAAGAAAGAAAAGGAGGGAGACACATTACATATCTTGTTAACTTCATCATGTGTGTATATTTACTAGATATTTAATTTAATTTGATGCGGTTTCAGCTGTGTTGATTCGGTCAGGTTGTGTGTCCAAACGCGTGCCAAACGCACTCATCAGATCAGATATAGATCAGAATATATATTATAGATCTAAATGTATGTGCTGACTCTGATTAATAGTTGATGATGATTATTTATTGCACTGAAATCTGCCTGACACTGTGGAAACCTGCCGGTGAGGCATCAGTGACGTATGTCGATACGCCGCCGGTCTACCAAAATACTACAAGACCAGCTGCGTTCCGCCTTGCGCTGAAAGCTGACCAGGTTTGAATCGGCGAGCTTTCAGCGCACTTTACACGCCGTTGGCGAGCACGAAAATGTCACTGCGCCAGCTGATTCGGTCGAAACCTCCCCCTGCCACGCCACCACGCCCAGCTTGGCGGATCTCGGCTCGCCTCCGTGCGGCTCATGCCACGAAAATACCAAACTGGCCTTACGCTGGGCTCCGCCAGACGAAAATACAACTGCGCGGGGCTCGCCGCCCTCCGCCGCCTCACCGGCGCGCACGAAAATAGAGCCCATGGTCATTTTTCTAACTGTGGGTGCTTTGAATGCATATTCACTCAAGTAGATTTGACTACCATCCGCACAGTTTAGCCTGTCATTTTGTTAGAAAAATGTTATAAATGTTCGAAAAATCTTTCATTTTAATTAAAACTGTCTTTGAAACCAGGAATGTTAACAATTAATGGCATATCGATTAATTGATTGTTAAGAAAGTTCCCAGACAGGTATTTTTTGTTTGACTTTCCTTTAGGTGGGGATGAACAACTTGGTCCTCATTTCACATCCACCAATCAGCACGGTCATTTAAGTCCAATACATGTTTAAGAGTACTTACTGGCCAAAGGAGACATGCCCAGCCTGAGCGTCTCTTTTGGGGAGCAAGACATAACAGTTGCCACCAAGAACACAGAGATAGGAAACTTTTTACCATAACATTACCCTATCTTTGGATGCAAAGCTGACAGACTGATAAAAAGTCAGTGCAGAGAGATTTCCCTGACTGGCGCCTATCTGCATAGCATCAGCATCAGTGCCTCCTCAGCGTGTGTTTTCTGCCACCTGGTTGTGACCAGGGGTGAAAGTAAGCCACCGGTATGCAGCGGTAAGCCGTACCGGGAAGACGTAAACAGCAGTTTACAGCCAGTATGCAGCGGAACGCAAACTTTCACCCCTGCATTTTATGTATGCTACATGTGCTTACCGTGTTGCCGCACGTCAGTCTGCACTCTGCATTGTAACCGTAGTAATCCAGTAGGCTAATTCCGCTTTCAAGTGAGTCGCATTTGATTCCGCAAACAAACTCCAGAAGTGGGAGCACTCGTGTGCACTTTTGATTGGACACTGGTGACCTAAGCATTGGGGATCGCCTCCTGCCTTTTGCAGAAGGAGGTAACTTTTAAAGAGACAGCTGCTTCAATCTTAGCGCAGAAATATTAAGAATATCATGCAGAATTTATTTATTCTTATTTGTTGAGGTGCACTTGCACTTGTATGCTGTTAGCTTGCTTCTGTGCAGCAGAGAAGACAAGAGTGTTCAACTTTCTTTATGGTTCTTGTTTAAATGATCCGTTTGTCGACACCTCGTTAAACTTTGGTGTGCTCCTCTTGTACAAAGCCTACGGATACAGTACCTGCAAGAACCTTATCCTACTTTCACCCCTGGTTGTGACTGGTTGTGCTTCTGACTAACACCCATGCAGATATGTTCATTTATCAATAACAACAAGTATACTTTGAATTAGCATCTCTAATTGTAATAAGATTATTTGGAAATAAGAATTGGTGTTGAAGATGATTTCAGGGGGCTTTTATCCGGGTAGGACAGCAAGTAGAGAAGGATACTGGGATGAGAGAGTGAGGAATGAAATGTAGCAAAAGGCTGGAGGTTGGTGGGAACATGCCAGAGACTAACTTCTGAAACTGCTGAACCAAACCAGCACCTGAGACTGACCGTTGGGTTTTTATTAGTGTAATGTTCCTCTGAGAAACACCACTTCTAGACACAGCCTAATGCAATCTGTTTGGAGCCACCAGTCTAGAACTGCAATTGCTGGACCTCTGATGAGGAAGCCATCTAGGTGGAAATGTCTTTAGGTAAGAGATCTCCAATTGTTTAGGTTGCTGCAATAAAGAGTTGACGTCCAATAAGGATCCAACAAGAACAAAATCTCACTATTATTAATTCAGTAACCTCCATATTATTTAACTTCGGCTATTATCACCTTAATTAAGTTGGTCGCAATTTATTGATGATATTACTGAAACCATTATCACTGCACACCTATTGTTCCATCATTTATATGTAGTAAATATTCCTTTAAAAGTGAATTATTTTGTTTGTGTAATCCTCTTAGGAGTTGAAAAAATCCTTAACGGTGATGGTGAGGCTGATTGACAGTCTGCACATTTGTTGTTAAAGCAGCAACTGTCTATCCAATTCTGATCACTTTGTCTAGATCTTTAGCTTTACAGAGTGAAATTACTAGTATTTGCATTGGCTGAATATTTGAAGGACAAACGTGTACAAACAAACAAACACCCAAACAGACAATGACAGAAAGATTGCCTTATTTACATATAGATATACAGAGTGTCCTCTAATGATTCAGAGGGGACTATGACGAGCTGTAATAAAGAGTTGTACTGTCATAATAAAGAAAATCATGGAAACTTGTATATGTTTGCTGCGAATGGGCTGAAAACTAGAGAGGATGGATGTTAAAGTGAAGATAAGTGAGGAAATTTAAGTTAAAGGGAGGGAAAGAGGAAAAGAGGAAATGTGCATGTTCATGTCCACAGTCCTAATTAGCCAACCTTGGGTTGTCTGATGGAGGACACATCATCGACAGAGGCAGCGCTGTGCCTGCAGGGGAACACACACACACGCACACACAATGACACAAAATTACACACCATCCCTCTCACACACAGACACAGCTTTAATTAAATTTACAGATGTCAAAGCTCTGATCACGAAAGCAAATCCCCCTCCCCTCTCCTGTCATTCATTCGACTATCTCTCTCCCTCTCTCTCTTTTTTTTACCCACCCAACCCGAGTCATGAGAACAGCTCTGAGCGCTGTGACGGGTAATGCTGCCTCATTCAAAGAAATACCATTTCTTTCTGTCGCCCTTACACAGCACAGAAACAAACACAAGCCCCCTTTCTCTCTCACACACACAGTCACACAAAAAAAGAGAGAGAAAGTGATTGCAGACAGCTATTGATCTGTACTGTGGCTGATAGGACAGTAATGAACTTCCTGTAGAACAAACAGCAGCCTGTAGAAAGAGAAATCTGCTCCAAATGTCCCAGCACTTCAAAGTTTTCTGACTGATGTTTCTATAGTGTTTTTTTTAGTCTGCAATGACTCTTCACTTCTCTGAGAGCGTGTGTTTCTGCTGCAGATAAAGCTGCAGTGCTGCGCAGGTCAGAATACTCAAAGTGGCATTTAAGTGATTATTTTCTTCACTTAGGATACAACTTGTGGCTGGATGTTTCAAATAATAATAATGCTATTTTAGGTCAAACAATATTTCCTGCTTCTTAGCTTCCCTCCAAGTATGTTTTTTCTCTCTGTCTCTCTCTCTGTCTCTCTCTTTGTCTGTCTGTGCAGAAGACTAAATTGTAAGTAATAATGACCTGATTTTCTCTGCTCTACATCAGTGATTTCTTATCAGCGTGAGGGCCCTGTGAGGTTTTTCTAGATAACGAGGAGTACATGTAAACAATAAACTCATTCATCCGATTTGAAGAGCTGTCTTCATATATTTGAATGTAAGTTGCTGTGAGGGTGACGTTTCTCCTGCCTGCCTCAGATTGTTTCATCACCTGAATGTGAAATACTTCATGAATGATGAACATTTCAAGCTGAGTGGTGTCTACAACTATCAAAATCAGTGAGTGTCAATGGTGTGGAGAAAAGCAGTTACTTATTTTGTAAAAAGCTTTTTGTCATTTGGATTTGTTTTAAATTCAATCCTCGTATTTTGAATTTTTGAAATGCTAAAATCATGTTCAAGCCGACGTGAGCTGACGGAACCTTGAAATTGTTACAAATAACTGTTCAACAGGAATACAACTTCACTTATGCCCATTTCAAAATAATTGTACAAATGTCTTGACTCTAGACTAGCGTTATCCAACTATGAGACCTGCTAACACCCCCAGTTTAGGCAGGAATTTCCCTCATTTTAACCCACTCTACTGCTATCCCACTGAGCATTTTTTAGTCTTATAGAGGACTCATAGACGTCTAAATGTAGCCAAGACAACTGGTCTAAAATCAGGCTACCACAGGTCTAAAAGTTTTTTAAGAAGTCTAAATTTAGACCACGTTTAGACTAGCAGGCTTACAGAGGTCTGACTGTATATTGCTCAATGGCTATCACAATTATTTTGGTTAAGTACTTGGAGATCAGTTATGCAACACACAGTTGCTTTTTGAAATAAATATTTATCGAGTAATGGGTTAAAGTGCAACATCTAAATTCCTTCTAAAAATATACAGAATCTAGACGGTTAAAATAAGGTTGAAAAAAAAAAATAAGTACACATCCAATAGCCGTCTATTGTTCAGTGATCTACATATTTCATGTTGATACCAATCAGCCTGGTGTCTCTCAGTCTCCATATTGGACATGTGTTATAAAACCAGGCAACCCAACTATGCAGTGAAAGGCATGAGCAAGAGAAGTTAGAAATAGTTTCTCTCACATGTCTATTCATTTGATTTATAGTTTAGTGTTGTATATGGATAGGGTTTTTTAGATACAGGCTGATTTTCCACTACCCCGGAAAATCTACCTCTTTTTCACAATCGAATGTTGGCAAGTAGGAACTCTAGTATTACCAAATCAATTTAAGAGCTGTATGCATGATTGACAGAATACAAAAGCACAAATAAAAACAATTGTTAGACCTTGATGAAAGCTCCCATGGTAAGATATTTTCAGTGAAATGGATTGAAATTCTTACTGATGCCTTTTTATGATCAATAAAAGTAAACGACCACCAGCAACAAGACTGACATTTTTTAGTCATAATTTTTTACACCTGAAACTGGTGAGAGTGGGCAGATGTCAGCTGGGCAGGTCAGGAAACAACCAGGTTTTTACAACAGATGATGCATTTAACTGTTAAAAAGTCAGCAGGCTTAGATCCTACGTCAGAAGACTCTGTTTAAGCTTGTGCAAGACAAGTTGAGCTCTGACAGCTTTGTCCACAGGGGGCGCCAAAGTTGACATATGTCTAAAGTCCCTCGTTGCAGCTTGAACATAGATCCAGAGAACAACCTGGAAAAAGCTGTTATCTCCTTTTACTAACTCGTCTTGCAGCTAAAAATGTGTGTCAAAATTGTAACGATGACAATTCAAGAACAAATCTAGTCTTGGATACTCTTCTTTGTCTGGACATCTGCTAAAGCCTCTTTTTATTGGTCATGGCTCCCACAGGCTTGTTGTCGGACAATAACCCATCTGTATCCCCTACATCCCTAAAGCTCTAAAATCCTTTTTTATTTAGTATGGCTTCATCTTTATATATAAACACAAGGGTAAAAATGGCTCATAGCTGGAGAGTTGAAAAAAGAGACGTGTAAAGACACTGTGAGGGGTTTTTAACTGATTGAAAAACAGACAGAAACTGATACTGATGTCTCTTTATGACCTTTAAAAGCAAAGGAGACCATCAGCAAGAAGGCTGATGATTTTGCTCTTAATGCTTAAAATGCTGTGAGGGTGGAAGAGGATACAAGTTTGAGGCCCTGTGTGTGTGTATCGTTCCCTTTATGAACAGCCTGTTAAGTTCTCATACAGGCAACCTAAAGTGCAGATAAGCTCCATTACACTCATTAATGGAAACTGAGGGAACATGAAATAACATGGTATGGACTGACCTTGTGTCTCCTCCCTTTGGTGTAGAAAAAAATAACAGCTCTCTCTTTGCCTCTCTCGTCACCTTGTGCTTTATCCTCCTCAGAGCTGTGTCACCATTAAAGTAATGGAGCTGTTGAAGCAAAGTGTGCATGTGACAGAGTTACAGAGGGAGAGAATGTGTGCCCTAAATGCCCCCTCGCACCTTGTCTGAATATAGAAAGAAGCACATCAATCTTAGTGTCCAGCTGTCCATCCAGCAGCAATGACCCTACAGTACTGCATCTGTATCCTGATGGGACCTTCTGCTGGAGGGGAGATAATTAATGTACTGTGTTCTGTCTAGATCCTTCCTCTTTTCTGTCCTACAGTCAATGGTTGATGGACAAGAAACATGCTACACAGATAACCCAGGATGCAGCTGCAGACAGGCTTCAAAAGAAAGTGAGATCTCTCTTATTTTTTCAAACCTGACTCCATGAGAAAAGTGAATCCGAGCAGAATTTCAAAATATATTAATTCTGCCCATCTTCTCTCTCCCCCTCCATGATCACAAGCTCTTAATCCACTTATCCTTTTTTTTCTTTATTTGTCAGTTTAGAAAAAAAAAACCACAAGTAGTTTTCAACTTGTCAGGGATCGTTCACTCCGCCCCCAACTACATGCATAATCAAAATTTTTAAAGACCATGCCTCTTATCGGGAATGTTTTCCCTCAAGTGTTGGCGTGGAGAAAATAAACTGTGAAGACATGCTCAGATGAAATTCAGCTCTCAGCCGTACACACAGATGTATCCTATATGCGCGCGCACACACACACACACACACACACACACACACACACACACACACACACACACACACACACACACACACACACACACACAGCAAGCACATACACAGGGTTTCAGTGAGAGCTTAAGAGGCTGGTTTAATAGACGGAGATTTACCTTCAGGATTTACCATAAGAGCCCTGTAATAAGAGTGACAGAGGGAGAGAGGGAGTAACAAATAGCAAACTGTGCAGCTGCAGGCAAGAAGAAGCCATGTGTGGAGAGAGCTAAATTATAATTTCAAACATTGCTTCCATTTATCCCCTCCTCCTTCATCCCTCTCCTCTCCTCTCCTCCTCTCACCTCTCCAGCCTGGAGTTGGATTCTGTGTCAGGATGAAGCAGCAGGAATAGATGAAACACGCACATGCGATGTGAAATGGGACAGCCATTTTTGGTGCAAAGCTTCTGACAGTAGCTAGTTCGTTTTGGATTAAACTTTGTGACACACAGATGAACTGGCATGGCACCTGAGTTAGAGTTTGATTCCAGGAGTCAAACTGAAATGTCTTCTATTCTCCATATTGTGCCTTAAAAGTGATTTTCGAGAGTTGTAAAAGCCCATCATAACAGCATGTTCTTTGGAAAAGTGCAACTTGAGTAACTGAATATTTATGTGTTTAAAAGGATGTTGCAATGTGTTGCATCACTCATCAATGAATCATGGCTGTTCAATAATAAATGTCTCAAACCAGAGTATTGTTTCGCTGAAATTCAGCCTCATCAAAAATGACTCTAGATAGAAATGTTCATCTTTTGATCTCTGTCTCAGTGTTGTGAAGGATTTGTTTTTGGACACAAATGCAAAAGAAGTGTTTACTTACCCCAATCAAAGTGTTTTCTTCCCAATATGCTCGACCCCTACCCATGCCTTTCCAAACTGTATACTACTCTGCAGGCACTGCACTGATGCACACCTTTTTATAACTAAAACCAGTATTTATTTTACTGGTTTGGAAAACACAGAGGTCAGAAACTTTTATGGGAACACAAACACTATAAAATATGAAAACACAGACATCTTATTGGCTTTATCTACTAGTTTAAAGAGGTTCTACAAAGCCTAGAAATTGCGGTTATCATATTGAAAATGCTGACTCAACTTTCAGTCAATCTGAACTCAGAGGTAGAACCAACGCGCTTCCTGTCAAAAATAGCAACAACACACCCAGCTGTCAACCATCTTCCACACCTCTAATTATGCAAATGTCTGCAGAACACTTAGTCTAAACATAATCAAATGGATGAGTAATAAAATATGTCACTCTCTGTACAGAAAAAAAAATCAATGCTGTTGTTTGACCTTTAATAAAAGTGTAAAAAGTGTTTGTCCGACTGAAATCGCAATTGAGCTTCGTATAGACAGACTAACATACCTAGTTAATGTAGTCGCGGGATGATTATCTCTGTCATGTATACAGCTCAATCAGACTGAAACTGGCCTTTGCGGGTTCACACGAAGTTTAAAGTAGCAAGAATGCTTTGACATTAATAAACCTACATCCCCGTTAGCCTTTTGCTAACATGTTTGGTGACAGTTTTGAAATATAATAGGTCAAGTAGGAGTGATATGATAGACAGAAATGCTCCTATCAATAATTAGATTTTTGTCTGGTGCTTGTAAGCTGGGACAGTCGTCTAGTTAAATCATCTAATTGATGTATGACATCAGTCATGTAAAAGCAATATACCTGTTTCTAATTCAGTACATTTATACTATAGGAAAGTACCTCATACAACCCCACTCCAAAAACGTATATTATCCTTTTGATTAAAAAACTTTTAAAATCACATTTCACTTACTGTTTACTTTTTAGGGTTTGCCAATTATCTTCAAAAAACATTTCATCTTTGTTCTGTGTTTGAACACCATGATTTCACAGATTAGTTTCAGCAATAATGCATGGAAAATTACAGGTTTCAATAAGACAGCGGTATAAGAACAGACAGTGACTCATACTCAGTGTTTATCGTGATCAAAGGAGAAGGTCTGAGAGTTCATCCTTGACCTTGGAAATCTAAATGCAAGGTTCACTTTTAATCCTTTCACCCTCCTCTCTTCAATTTAAAAAATAGCCAGTGTATCTCTCCCGAAGCTTTGCTGCCTATATTTTGAAGTAACTACTTCTTTTATTGTGGAACAGATGTGTTTTAAGTGAATTTTATGCCAGCGGGAGCTACGTGCTGTTTCCATAACACACTCTCGAAAAACATCCCTTGCAACAGTAAAATAAGCCGAGAATAGAGAGAATGAGAAAGGGATTTCACACCATACAGAAACCTCTCAGATCATACAGTATGTATGGAAAAAGATATAAACGTATTTGATAACCTCTCAACTTGTCACTGGGGCAACAGTAAACATGATTTTTTTTTTCTTTTTTACCAAACTTTTAAAGTTTCTTCTTACTTTTAAGTAAAAAGCAGTCGTTCAGTACGAGTTCATACAAGTGCAGCGTGTTGGAACCCAGTGGTACGCCAGCAAGGTCAGACCAGGCCACTGATAATCAGTTTATAGTGCTTATCAAATGCCATTACACACACCATATATCCTTTTATATGGTGTGTGAATGGACTTCAGCGAGGAAGATGTCCACTTTGTCCTTGGTTTAATGGCACTGAAAGTTGATAGAGTTGCCGCTACAGACGACATAATGTGCCCGATGTATCACGTTCATCTCTGTCATTCTGCATGCAGTATGTATGCTTTAAGGTCATGATGTTGACATCATAGAGGGGTATTAGTGTGACGAAACAACCCATGGACCTTGAGGAGAAGTCACTTGAGAGTAAACAATATCCAGGCACCTCATATCACTCATGGCTTCTACAAATGTTCGGGGCAGGATAAACAAGTTACACTGTGAGGCGATGGAAATGGTATATAAGCTGACAGGTGGGCGTGTTGTACCTGTTTGTTTGGAGGTTAAAGGTCAAAAACACCACCTTTTTGCCTGACTGAAAAATAAGCTGAGTCAGCATTTTCAGTGTGACATCTGCCATCAAAGGGTTTTATAATGCTGCATCAGAAACCAAGTCTTATGTTTATTTTTATGTTTAAACAATCTGTAGTTGCAGCACAGGCAAATAGTTGCTTTTAACATGAGTCCCATACAGGGCAACAATACTGGCCAGTCAGATTCTTAGGAGTGCTGATGCCACAAATTGCTGTTACTGTGCACACACATCCTTTTTTTGTCCAATAACTGTGTACCTGCATTTCAGGAAAAGGAATAAATCAAAGTTTTTTTTTTATTCTGGTCACAGAAATAATACAATTTCTATTATATTGTAAGTCAGAATTCACAGTATGTATTAGATCATTGATATGGAAAGATAACCTCCCCACTTTGCCCACTGTTATCTATACCCAGCTGTGGTATTTTGCCGTGTCTTTGAAGCAGCTGATATTTAATAAATATTCATGATTCCCATGGTGTATCCTTCTCATGACCTTCCAATCACCAAGTCATCAGAAGCCAGTGCAGACTCACATACACACACTCATGCACACACACAGCCTTGATCTTAATAACATGTGCCGCCTCAGAGCACTGGAGCCAACAAATGTCTATTTTTTCAATCAAATCCAATTACTCCCTGTGTGAGATGGCCTGTAAGTCAGTGGTATGGAAGGAAGATTAGGGAGCAGAGATGCATGAGATGAGGAATGATGGATGGAAGAAAAGGTAGAAAATTATAGATTAGACATGGCAAAGGGGAAACACTACATGACAGTAAAGGATTGAACAAAGTGTGCAATTAACATTTCACCGACAGAAAAGACAGGGCAAGTAAAAGGAATATATTTACAGAAACAGTAAGGATCTGTATGCAAACTGAAGAATAAGAGGCACATTACACACAATTTCAGTGCTCCCAAGCTGTGTCAGTGCACATCTCCAAATGCATTTTATTGTACAGCAGAACATATTCCTTGTGGGAAAAGTACATAATGTGGATATAACCGAGAGAACTGGGGGTTTGCAAGAATTAAGATCATAGCCAAGGCTTACAAAAAAAAGATGACACCACTTTGTGGGCAGCAGCTTGTTGCGTTGGCAGACTGTTTTTTGATCGTATAAATTCAGGGAAAACCATTAACTGCAGAGGTAGGTGAGTGTAGAGCACCAACTCTATCTGCTCGGGTATTTAAGGGAAGGAGCACAAAAAGGAGCTGCTGCCTGTAAAATGAACAAAATTTGAAGGAAAGGTGCTGCTAAAACTCAGGGGAAGGTCAAGTTGATAAGTTATGCGTTTTTTAAGAGATTTGAATTTTAAAGATATCACTCAGCACTGACAAGAGGACTGGAACAACTAGAGGAAAGGTGCAATATTATCATCACTACAAATACTCTAAATGGTGTTAAATCAGAGCCAGCCATGGGAGAATCACCCCCTCTTTACGACAGAGCAGTATACTGAGCCTAAATAGGGAATTCAACTGCTGTATACAATCCTTATAATTGCTCTTGAGATATTTAAGTCTAGACCAATCAAACTTACATTGGGATCCGAGTTTGATGCTGTGGGAGCAAATAATAGACATGTTTTTGGAGCAAAGTTATTGTGAAACTGCATAAAGGATACAGCCAGAGAGAGTCCAAATCATGGTGAACCATGACATGGTTCCCCATGACCTGGCAGAGTCGGCCAGCAAAAACATATTTATAGATGAAATCAGGTTGTTGGCTATCAGACACTAACGTGAAGGCCACTTACGGGAATAGGACTAATGACGCCATTGGGGATGTACAGTATGAGAAAGAAACAGTTGTAGGAATTCGGGGGATTTTTGGGCCTTTACTGTCCGTCTGAATGTCATGAGCCGAGTTTGATGCTGTAACTAAAATAAAATCCCGCGAGAGGCTGCCAGCTTGATTCTGTCTTCGTGTGGTTCATTTTTGCACCTTGGCATCTAATATACAACATATACAAGTGGCGAGCCAGCCAGGAGACTTGTATATTAGATTTAATAGATGCAAAGGTGCAAAAATGAACTACGCAAAGACAGAATCAAGCCGGCAGCCTCTCACAGGATTTTATTTTAGGTTCAGCATCAAACACAGCTCATGACAATCAGACGGACAGTAGAGGCCCCAAAATCCCCTGAATTCCTATAACTGTTCCTTCTTATACTGTACATCGCCAATGGAATCATTAGTCCTATTCCCGTAAGCGGCCTTCACGTTGGTGTTTGATAGCCAACAACATGATTTCTTCTATAAACAGATGGATGTAAAAACAAGAATATCTCATACTTGTGTTTTTGTGTACATTGTTGCTTAAATTGCCTCTTGGTTATTAATATCTCAAAACCCGATTTCAAACACACAAGTTACACTGTCTGTGTATCCTGTAGGGACATATTAATTTGTTGAGAGGCAGTGGGTGAAAATGTTATACGCCTGTGTTGATTTGGAGGAACACAGTGGCCTGGTGGAGATAACTGTCTGTGTCTCAGGCTGGCACTGTCACCGCCTCTCGGGGTTCTCTGTCACCTCTGATTTGCCACAGACTGCCATTCTGCATGTGTGCAGTGTAGTTGTGAGCAACAAGGTGATTAACGTTTTGAGCGCTAATTAAAATTTTGGGGTCAAACTGCTGTAAACCGGCAACAGGAAGGGGGAGGGGGCAGCATGCTTCAATAATGTGACAGACTTGAAAAGGTGTAGAAAGGATGTTGTGACAAAGATCCCCACACCTCAACCCTGTGTCTAATATGTAACTCAAATGACTCCATTGTTGCTCTCACATTCTCTGCTTTAATTGTTCCCAGACTGCATCAGTATTCTGTGTGAAAAATGCGTTTGTGTAGGTTTCTTCACCTGCTTCAGTCTGAGGTTTGAAATCCTACAGTGAAGAGTGTCAGGTAAAGAGACACTGCATTTGAACCCATTGTAATGCTATGTGGTAATGTAATGCTTCTGCTGAGAAGCTTTATGGAGAAACAAATCTCCTTCTGCTGCAGGATCTTGCAGCACCTGCCCATAGTGCCAAAAATTTCAGAAACTGGTTTGATTGGCCAGCTGACTCACCTGACCTGGACCCCTTAGAGAATCTCTGGGGTATTGTAGAGAGAAAGATAAGAGACACCAGAGCCACAAGCTGAGGGAAGCTTTTGAAGCAAGCTGGGCTTCAGTAACACCCCAGCAAAGACTGATGTGCCTCCACACCATGTTGCACTCATCCAGTTATTTGTGCAAAATTATGTGCTGTTGTGAGACCTTTAACTTTGTTTTCTGGTCACTGTGGTTGGCCAGACCTAGCATGCTCTGATGTAGGTTGAATCTATTTCTATGTCAGTTTTGTGCTTTTGTGATTCTGCAGATTGAAGTAATGATCATTCCATTAAGTGGTATCCTTGAGAAAACAACTGAAATGAACTCCATATCACTGGGAAGTGGAATAAATTGAAATGTAAGGACACCACTATGACTTGAGCGTCAGTATATGAATGACTTAGTCGCTAAGTGCATGCATATTCTGTTAATCTTTTCTGTAAATATTGTAGCTGACGATTTGACACATGCAGCTGTTTTGAGTTTTTCGGTTGGGTTTAGATTCAGCACCGGCAACAGTATAGATTTTTTTGTCCCCTCTCTCGCAAATTTATGCCCATTTCTCACTGAGATCAAACACATCTCCCAACTCAAGGAGAAAACTTGTGGACGTCCTTGACATACCGCTCTGCTCCTGCTGTTTTGGATTGACGATGCAGCGCTATGACACAGGGAGCAAACTAAAACATGCCAGTCAGCCAGGCTGGGTAGAAAGAGACAAGTGATTGCACCGATGATGGGGGTTATTCAACAGAGATAGGGGGTGGAAAGGAGGAGTGGGGGGTGAAGTAAATACAGAATACAAATGAGATGTCATTGATAAATACTGTATGATAGCACTCGGCATTCCTGACAAGTCAGCGAGACTATGACTACTACAGTAAAACTTGACAGAAGAGGAGAAACCCATGGAAACACATTTGCACAACTCTCACAGAAAGACTGCAAAACGATTTTTGTATCTTGGCATCTTCAAACAGGAAAGTGGGCAATCATAATGTTTAAGGAGCAGTTTGAAATTTAGAGAAATTACTGAAAAAACAAACCTAGTTACATTCTTGTTTAGATTACACTAAGAAGACGTAGTGGTACATACCACGCTCATATACCATCATGTTTTGTAGCTAAATACAACAGCTTAGCAAAGAATTGAGCTCGCCAGGCTAGCATACAAACATGGCAGTGATGTCAAACCTATCCTCATACAAACAAAGTGTGTCATAAAATGTGAAACTGCAGCTCATCGGGGCAACGTTAGGTATAATGATACTACAGAATCTGCAATTTTCGACTTCAATATGATCAGCTAGAATGGTGAAAATATATCTTTGAAGGTAAGTTCGAGTCAAGGCGGGGAGTAAACACAAGAATAGTGATCATTCATGGGAATTGGTTAGCAGGAAAATGCCATTTGGCCCAGGTCTATCCCTGTTTGGCTTATGTCATTTGGTCCACATTTGAGCTCATGTGTGAGCAACCCATTCTTAGATTTGATTTCTAAAGCAAATACAGAAACCCATAAAAGCATCAGAAGAGGTGCTTGCTGATATACCTTGTATCCAAACTCCTGTTATTTTTTTTACTGATGTTCCTGTCTCTCTGACCTGTGCTGTGAAAAAAGAATAAACAAAAATACGATATCTACTTTGTTAGAGAAGATCTAGGGTGCAAAAATAACCATTATGCTTATGCTCATGGTTGCCAGTCTATGCCAAAGCTTATTTTTTCCTGTTTTTTTTTATGCTGAACTCCTCAAAGGACTGTCTAGACTTCTTTTAACAAAGCGAGAGTTTGATTATTCAGCTGAGCACCTAAAAGGTCCTGATCTAGATGATCAAAGATATAGCGGGGGAGTTCAACCTATAGAAAGAAAGCGTCAGAGAGGGAGACGCACACAAAAAAATAAGTGAATAAAAGAGAGAATAGCTCCAATGACATCCAAAGGATGGCTTAGTCTTACAGGGGCTTGTTCACTGGTTATAATTTGTGGCACAAGAACGACATCTAGTGGTACTCCCATAAATTGCAGGACTTTGGGTGTGAAAAGAGACTGAAACATTGTTAACAGACCATTGGTGCATTTTTGATAGAAGTGAGTAGAGTGATTTGGATTCAACAGTTTAAAGGGTTTCAAAGTAGAATGCTTCCAAATTCCTAACAATGTCCAAAAATCTTGACTATTTAACCATTTTTTTAATCCTCAGAAACATGGTTTGCACCCAATACCTAAGCAAGCCTTTCTCTTCTATAACTCTTCTATTTAACAGTAATGTATTTTCAGCTCATTTCAACATGACTGACTCTACTCTGAACATAACACCACATTAAAGAGTTAAAATACAACTCGTCTGTCCTTCAGAGAGGTTTTTAATTTGATTTCCATTATTACCTTTAGAGGTCCTTTACAACACCAAAGCATTTTCCTCTGTGGATTAACACCAAATAAACCCCGTACAATAGCTTACAAATCAGTTTTCTCTCTGAGTTGATTTTTTCTTTCTTCTCACAGAGACTGATTCAGTTTAAGTACTCTAAAGAACTGCCTCAACAGTTTTGGGGTTTTTATTTAAACCCCAATGAAAGCAAAGCTCATCGTGTTTAAGCACAGTTTGACAGACACATATGAAACACCCGTGCATACTTAGAATTGGCCAGTGTGATTAAAAAGACGCTTAAATGTGATGAAGCAAAATTTTCTCTAACACATTATATATTAATTTTGACAAGATGAGCTGACACTCTGAGATACTATCTGGACTCATTTGTGTGAAATTAAACCCTCCATATCTGGATTTTGTCTTATTTTTTATTAGTCATCTGTTTAACATAACGTTATTGTTAAGGAAGTGAAATTCAGAAGACCAAAGCGTGATATTAACTCGATCAATTTGTTGGTTTGTTACCCATTTTATGCTCTAACATACGCTCCTGTGAAATCTTTGACAGCAGACCGTTTTTGAAACCTTGGCCTTGAAACAGAAATGAGAGGAGCACTGAGAGTTTTAAAAGAGCCTTCAAATAAATGTTTCACTTTTGCTGCGTAACAGAACGGCGGCTACTTTCTCATCACTGTCATGAGTCTCAAAGTAGTTTCAAGCTTCAGCAGGCAGATTTTTGTATCACTGAAAAATTGAAAGTTAATTTCTGGCCCAGAGGCGAATCAATGTGACAATCACCAAAATGTAAACATGACATTTTGCAGCAAATGGGATCAATATTACAGAAGCATCTGAGCAGTTCTTCATAATGACTTTATATTCATTAACACCATGTTGTTTTGCTTTGTTGCTGCATTGATTTTTAATAAAGATCAGTTATAAAAAACACTTTAAACTTGGATGCATCAAGTGAACATGGGGAGGTACAATGTTTGAAAAGGTTTTAGGGTACTTTATAAGAGAGCACAGTGAAAAACATGTATAATGACTGAATCCTGATTGGTTTCGCTGCGCACTGAATGTTTAGTGTGAATGACAAAGTGCTTGTCTCTCACTGATTTGACTGAAATAAACTGTTGAACACAAAGATGTGCAGTACCTCAACTTTAAATGAACAACATAATTAACAAACATTAAACCACCTATATTTTTTTGTATTTGTTGTGACCCAATTTTTGTAGTGACATTTGCTTTTACCTTGTCCAGTGCTTCCATTCACTCTTTCACACCCAATACCCAATCATGACTATTTGATCTTGTCCAAACGACTCGTCTGACTCATCGAGTTGCCCTCTTTTACTGCATGTCCCGTCATATTGATTTTCAACAAACACTGAAAAGAGACCTGTGAGCTCTGGCTAACTTAGTTTTTCCATATAAAGCCTGTGATCAGTCCTGAACAGCTGTTAAAGGCAAATACCTATTTGAGAATAAGAGCAACTTAAGCGTTTTTACAGTATGAGTGGTCCATGAACGCTGGTTTATGGATGATTTTCTTTTTGGACTGAACTGTTTTAGCCAATATATCCTACAAATATAGAATGTTTTCTCTAATCCTTCAATTTCAATATCTCAATTCATACCACTCCAAATTTATTCATCATCTTCCAGACGTTTTTGATTCTGTTTTTGTTGTCCCCTCTTCTTGTCTGAGTTCTTTCCACAGCTCTGTCTGCTGGATCTCTTTTTCTTTGTTCTTCTGGATTAAAATGAGCGCAGCAGTCCTGTATTTGCATGGCTGTTTATAGGTTTCATAGTGGATTTTGCTTTGATTTTTCAAATAAATCGTTGTACCACATCTTTTGTCATAAATGCAGTAGAATAAGGGTTTCATTTCGTGCTCGCATGTCTAGGCTTCAGAGCACAAAGAGGTCCACACTCTGTGCAGAGCTCACTAATTTTAATGCCACTCTCTGGATCATAAACCTTCTTCCTCTTCACCTTCATCTTCACTTTCATCTTCAGACTCCTCTGTGAGCTCTTCATCCAGGAAAAAAAAATCCTCATTTGGATTCCATTCTCTCCTCCTTCTCTCCTTCTCCTGAGGGATCGCTGTCTTCGTCACTTAATGAAACAATTTAAGAGGGAAAAAACTGCTGCTGGGTTCGTCATCTGCTGCCGTTCCCGGAAACAACACTGTGACAAAAATGAGAATCTGGCAGGGGGGAACTTTTAACTACACAAGGTGAAAATATTGTACCCAGTTTCATTTTAATCACTATTAGTCTGCAATGAGCGTTGAAGAGGTGGGCAGTAAAGGAAAACATACACAAATCCAAATATTGCTGTATTAGGGTGAATTAAATGGGAGGGCAAAAGATAATATAATCCAAATCTCTGCATCATCTCTGAATAAAAAAATGAAAGCGCTTAAGAATATTGATAACCCTTATGTTAAAATTTGCATAACAGATTCTGAGGTCCTTATAAGTCTTCATTAGTTTAAGGTTTTGTTGAAGCATGTTTGACCGTTAAAGGCGTACCTGTTGGGTGTCTGAAGTGACATCTGTGCCTCCTTCCTTCAGGTGTTCTTCCACAGCTGTGGAGATACTGGTGTTGATTTGGCTCTCCCTCTATGACTCAGTGAGAGCAGCATCCCTCAGGTGATCTTCTCAATCCCCATGATGGGCACTTGCAACTAAATGACAAAAGGAGGCTGTTTTCATTTCATTTCACAACAAGTTTTCCTTCCATCTGTAGATTCACGTCATCTGAACACGACTCAAAAAAAGTACTACTCACCTTTCTTTGTTTAAATCAGATCCAGGGGAAGTTGCATCTGAGTCATCAGGCGGGTCTGACACTCAACAGGACTTAGGATACAAACAAGTTATGATATGTACAAAAAAAAACACTTTATTTCATCATTACTTGATATCTAACTTTTCCCACCTGTCAAAGTGGTAAGCTATTTTTCATTTTGGATAAAAAAAGTTTGAAGGTCATTACACTGACTAGAAAAATACCGGTTCTCTTGTCGCTGTCCTTCCAGTGGGTAAAATGTTAAAAAGTGCCCTATGGCTGTGCAACCAAAGAGTAAATGTGATAAGGTTGTTTATTTTTGGATGTTGTGCAAGGCTTGTGTGTGTGCTTCTGTAACCCCTGGGCTACTTCCTGCCCAAGATTTTCAGCAGTCCTTTTTTTTTTTTTTGGACAGCCAAGGTTCAGGCCTGCTGAACAACGTCGGAATATAAGAATGGCAATGATGGACACGGAAGTGAAGAGCTGAGGAGTGCTGTAAGAGGCAGATGTGCGCTAATTGCAACTTTCTGTGCAGAAGTATCTAAATGCTTAATAAGTGATGTTAAAAGGAAAGGCGATGTAACACAGTGGTAAACATGTCCCTGACCCAGCTTTTTGTGAACGTGTTACAGGTATCAAATTCATAATGAGTGAATATTTGCCAAAAAAAAAAAAAATCTTGTCTTTAGTGTATTCAATTGAATATAGGTCTTAAAGGATTTGCAAATCATTGCATAGTTTTTATTCAGGTTTTATTCATGTTACGTCCTAACTCCACTGGAATCAGGGTAGCTGTATTCTTCCACAGCAAGCATGTGATACAAGGACCTGCATGTGAAGAATTGATTATAGGTAATCAATGAATGAAGAGACCACGGGCACTTAAATTCAGACTAGTTTGATTTATTTGTATGACAGTAAGTCCCAAACTGCACACAGAATAAATGTTCTGCAATCATTTAGACTCGTGTTATAAATAAAAGGCCATTCAGTTTGCAGTGGGCAGGTGTACATGTGTGATGTGATTTTGTAGGGAATCTAGTTTTATAAAAGTCCACTTCATCACACTCTTTCCTTTCCACCAAAACTAATCTTTTGGCTCCGTTTGACCTTGAACACAGACAGGAGGGTTTTTCCTTGGTCTGCCCCTGCGCTTCCCTGAGCCCTTACCTCTGTTCTCACTATCAGACTTTTTTGGTCTCCCCCTTCCAGCTATTTTCTTTATCACTGTCTCTGCCCCCTTCTCCCTGTCCCCTGCTAGATCCAAGGCCATGTTAAAGTCATACAGCTCATCTTCACCTTCTTCGTTGCAATATCTTCTCTTTAGCCTTTGTTTTGAAGTCTTAGGATTTGCTTCATCACTCTTCGGCCTCCCGACTGGTCTGCCTGTGCTTTTCTTTTTATACTTCGGTTTATACGCTACCTCTGTTTCTGTATCCTGATTTACATATAAATCCCCAAGCCCTAATTCTGCCACTGTTTTCTTTTGATCTTCCTGAGCATCGAATGCACTTTCGTTGCCGCTATTTTGCTCGCTTTTAAAACCGGATGCATGGTAACGCTGTACGTGGCTCTTCAAGCTCACATTGTGATTGAAGCGTTTGTCACAATACTCACACTTAAAAGGCCTCTCTCCTGTGTGAAGGCGCATGTGGGATTTCAGGTGGCTTGCCTGGTTAAAGCCACGCTGGCAGACTGAACACTTGTGTGGCTTCTCTCCTGTGTGCACAGCTAAGTGCCGCCGGAGAGCGAGCGGCCAGCAGAATTCAATCCCACAAAAGTCACATTTTAATTGCGGAGGGCCTCTGTGTTCCTGAATGTGGGCTCGACGTTCCTGATTGGTGCCAAAGCGCTCTGAGCAGTCTGGACATTTATAGGGCTTCCCCTCAGTCATGTGGGTGTGTTCGTGTGCAAATTTGTCGGACTTTGTTTTGAATGAAACGTGGCAGAATTTGCAGCGGTGCTCATAGTTTGCATCATGGATTTTGCTGTGACGACCCAGAGCGTGGTCAGTTTCAAACCTTTTTCCACAAATATTGCAAGCAAAGGGTTTAGTTTTGTGCTCACATGTGTGAGGCTTAAGTTTGTTGAAAAACTTTCCACAATCGGTGCAGAGCTGACTATATTTGGCTGTGAGTGAGGGGTAACCATCACCGTCCTCCTCACTTTCCTCTCCGTCCTCACTTTCCTCTTCACTTTCTCCCACAGCCAGCGGAGAATCATCGTTTGGCCTCCAATCCTTGTCTGAGTCGTTGTCGTCTTGATCACACGATTCATCTGATTCTTCCAGGTGGTCGCTCTCCTCGTCAATCACGGCAACAATCTCAGGAACCTCTGCAAGACTGCTCTGGGAGTCACCTGTTGGCCCTACCTGGGACACACACACACACAAAAAAAAGCAGCATTGATGACTCTGTGATCTGATCAGGTTGTTTATGCCGTGAACCGTCCGTCACTTCTTTGTTGCAGCTGATAAAGTTGGTGCTCACTTTCATTGTGTTAGTTTCTTTACTCCCATCCTATCTCATAACCTGAGGATTCCCCTCATGACCAATATAGATATACAATACTACAGGTAATAATATTTTTTAGCATTAGCATTGATCTATTCAGACTCTTGTAGTCCAACTGATGTGACTTAAAGGGATATTCCGGCGTAAAATTAATTTAGAATCAAACACACCGTAACACCAAGTTAGACACCCCCTCGAGAGATGAATGTTGCCGCTTGCTTCTCTAATTATACCAACTTTAGTAATGACCGCATGATAGCAATACACAGCAGTCTGAGGAGCCATAAACAAACCTCAATCAAAACGCCACCCTATAACCACAAATAATGCTCAGAACAGCACCTAACTTCATCAACAGTACATATAGGGTTCTAGCCATAGCATTATCCACCAAACATCTTTTGAGCTTTGCCCTATTTCTTTAGCAAAGAGACTAAACACAACTCACCTACTCTCTTCCAGCAGCCACTTGTTTGTAGCGAGACCTCAGGCGAGTCCATTACAGAAGAGCATTTATGATCATTTCTCCATGGAAATGCAATCAGACCAAGACGCTAAGGCAGAAGAACTACTGCGCCTGCAGTTCTAAATGATTAATATGGTGATGTTTACTTCAAGGAAATGATCATAAATGTTCTTCCTTGAGCTCATCACCCCGCAGCAGTCCATAATGGACTGGCCTGAGGTCTCGCAACAAACAAGCGGCTGCTGGAAGAGAGAGGTTTAGTTGTGTTAAGTCTCCTTGCGAAAAAAACCAGGCAAAGCAAAAAAGATGTTTGGTGGCTAGGACCCTATATGTACTGTTGATGAAGTTAGGTGCTGTTCTGAACATTATTTGTGGCTATAGAGTGGCGTTTTGGTTGAGGTTTGTTTATCGCTCCTCAGACCGCTGTGTATTGCAATTGTGTGGTCATTACTAAAGTTGGTATAACTAGAGAAGCAAGCGGTTGGCAACATTCACCTCTCGAGGGGGTCTCTTACTCGGTGTTACAGTGTGTTTGACCCTAAATTAATTTTACGCCAGAATATCCCTTTAAATTCAGTTGAGTTAAAAGTACAACTTTTGCACCTTCTAGTTAGAGCGAGCTTGTCAAGGTGATGCAGTGAAACCTGAATCCTTTCACTCTCCTGGATCATCTGATATTTTCAGGAATAACAGCTGTCCATGATGAAACAAAGTGATTACTGAAGATCCACAAAGTGGTACTACTGTTTCTTACATGGGTTTGATGGATAGATGATAAATTGTTAGGGTACGAGAGGTGTGTCTAGATATGCTCTACCTGTTGGGTCCCAGGAGTGACTTCTATGTATTCTGCGAGCTGTCGATCCTCTTCTGCTGGGACATCAGCATCGATCTGGCTTTTCCACTGGTGTGTGTACTCACACTGAGGGCACTTTTGGTTGAGGACGATGAGCAGCCCATACGTGATCTTCTCCATCAGAAGCTTGCAGCCACAGGACGGGCAATTGCTTTGGAACAACTGTAGGAGTTGTTTTTCATGCACAACATATTTTCCTTTCATCTGCAGACGTGCAGCTCTGAAACGTCATAACAGGGGAAATATTTAAAAAACAGCCCTATGTAACAAAGTTGCAGCAGTCAGCAAAACTCTCAAACATTTATGAGGACAACTTACTTTTCTCTTATCAGATCAAAATTAAAAGGTTTTGGTTGCATCTGGGCATCTGCTGATACAAAAGCATTCGATTCTGCTGCAGAAGATGAGACTCTTTGGACGAGGTTGCCGAGGGAAGCTGCAAATTAAGTAAAGACTGTGAGTACAATGAATAGTCTTCACATCATATTTAGTAACATTTATAAAAACATTTTACCCATTGGATTACGTCCTGATTCTTCTGAACTGGAAGGTGGGCTATTGCATGGGCTATCATCATCATCCTCGCAGGCTAATTCCATGGTTTCTGCAGACTCCTGTACAAAGACAAAAAAGGATATGACATTCAGAATTTAGTTTAATGTTATAAAAGATCTGAAATAATACTTGAGAACTTTGTATTTTTTAATTGCAAAATAGACATAATAGAAAATAAAGGACAGAGAAATACAAAAGGACCACCTCTTTGGACCAATAGACCTACATCTCTATAATCAGCATCCACATTATGATCATTCAAAAAGCATTTTAAAAGGTCACTTATTTACAAAGTTAATAAAACATTACTTGAGTCTTATTGTGGTGCAGTGTGTCTTGTATATAAACAACCACGTCATTGTTCCTTTTCACTAATCGGTTGCTGCTAATTTAACTCTTGTTTTTCCTTCTCAGAAGGAAAGCAAAGCAAACTCATTTTAGGACTTCTACCCTCTCCTGCACGGAGATCAAGCTTTTATTGGTCCTGTTATTGTTTTTTATTTTATTGTTATCCTAGTTTTTACGGAGCCCCTCTGGTGACATTGGAGAAAAAAAAATATTTATGCATGGCCACGTTAAGTAACAGGATCTGCCGGGGAGGTTTAGAGGAAGTTTGTTTGATTCTTGCAGCTCTGGACCCTGACACCTCAGCCATCCATCTATCCAGGACACTAAACCTACCCTCATTCATTCAGCATTACCTACACTGACATGTCCTGCTTCATGCAGTCCACTGTCCCTGTGCACTTGGGTCAATGCAGGTGTTGGTCTAAGGGACTAATCAAGTTTACATTTACAGAGTTCAGTAAAGTTGGAAAGATATTCACAGATTCTGACTTCCGGGATCAATAACTCTGAGATGAAACATTGTCCAAACACAAATGATGCCTCTTCGCGTCGTAATAGCACAGACTACTAGCTACAAGAATCAAAAACCGGCTAGTTACAAAAACAAGCCATTCTTTGAGCTGAATGAATAATATTGATCTCTATGTGCAGCCGGTAGCAGAGCAAGTGCACAGGGACCGTCTGCAAGTTGCAATACAAGATCAAGACGCTGCAAACAAAAATCAATAGCTCCACTGTTTTACAGTACAGTGAGATACTGACTCAAGGCCAAATTTAATTATTTTGAACTGCAGTCATTTATTAAACCAGTCTGATTAACCGCTTGCAAGGAACCCTCCATATCACAGTTTAGTTAGGGGCTGGGTACCCCCCAAAGATCTGGTTTTAAAATCGCCCCTGCTGAAAACAGCATTTGTTGTTGTGTCCAGTCAAAGTGGGGTTTAACTATAAGCCAGCTTTGTAACTAACAAAAAGATCCTCAAGCTCTCTTGAGAGGAGGCTGCATTATTATGAAATCTGTTTTGATTGATTTATTTATTACTTGACTGTTTCAGCCACAAAAGACTCACCCCACGTTTCGGGCTCTCCAGATGTGGCTCAGGTTCGTCCGTCTCTGCCTTGACACACAGTGATGGGACCGCACTGGGCTTCAGCTTTAATTGTTCCTTCTCAGTCACACCCGAGTGGTCTTCGAAACAATCATCTCTGAAGTGCTCGATACAAACTGTAATGTCAGTCCAGGATGATTCTTTGAAACGCTGTTTGTTGACTGAAGCAAGAAATCGCACCCACTCCAGTCTCCTCTCCGGATCCTCGGGCAGCTGAAACCGCTTCGCACTGCGAACCCACGAATCACATCCGACCACCGAGCACATCTTGGATTTAGAGCACGAACATTGAAATGTGAGAGTGCAACATTTAACAATGCAAACAACCTCGACCGCCGACCAAAACCCTGCTCCCTTTCAGTCATCACCTAACATGGAGCCATTTCTGCTACGACATCGGCGGGCTGGATGGGCGGGGCCTTTTTACGATGGGGTTTGCTTGATATAACATACAGCGTGTCCCTGCTGTGGAGTCGAATCTTTTCTCAGTAAAAGTTTGGTTCTGAATAATAAAGTTGACTTATTTGGCACAACTTAGAATACAGAAGAAATAGTTCCAGATTGGGTTTGAGAAAAAATAAGGAGAGGTGGGGTATACTTTTCGAATCATTAGAAAGTATTCATATGTTGTCAATCTTAATAAGCAGGCTACAAAGCTGATCCATAAATGAAGATGAATGTCACAAGTGTTCACTAACTTTGAAGCCAAAAACAGCTGCATATCATCAACCCTGCCACCTCCATCTTGACAAATGCAACATGATTCAGACTAGAATATCACAATACTCGTCAGGTACAGTTTTCTTTAACATGGTCTCTGTCGTTATAGTTTGTTCTTATCATAATTATTCATGCCTCTGTGCTCCCTTTTCTGAGAGGGTAGGTTTTAGGCTCTACTCACAGACTGTATATACGATGGACAATTTGGTTCTGTCTCCTGCCAGTATACGGATTTGAAGCCAAAAAGCTCTTGGTAATTCTGTGTTTTTTCTCCATTTCCTGAAACCAACATTGCGCAGTAGCGTTGTACGCATTCAGTGAGAGTCACTGTGGTGACACTCGGATCAAACAGCATATTCCCCAGGTGAGCTACGCAATCCTTGTACGCCCATAGGCTGCATCAGGTGTCAATCATAGAAAAGATGAACCCCATATAACTTTCAAAAACGGAGCTGTACAGAAAAAAGACAACTTGAGCACAAACCAGTCTGACAGTAACTACATGTCAACATCACAAGCAGGGGGGAGAAAAATTTATGTTCTGTGTAATAAATTTCTTAAGTTAAAAAAATATCGCTTCCGGCTCCGCTGCAGATTGGCTCCAGATCAGAGACGCAAGGCTTCCATTTTTGCCGGAGCACGGCTCATCAAGTCATTGCAGCGCAGCACGGGCTGCAGCGGAAGTTGTATGCGGTTACAGAGTAAAATATCTGGTTACTTTTCAAAATAAAATTAAGTCAATACAATTAACTAGATTCTTTTGAGACCCTCCTTCTCCATGTGGTGGCTCCCTCCAACCTCATTGCTCTTGTGGATTAAAAACAATACTAAAAGAAAGTGATGATTGGGATGAATCACACAATGACAATGCCACAAATTATTTTTCTACTCTTCAGTCTCTATTATTGGACAGAATGTGTAAAAGAGAACATAACAGATAGCTATGTAAATGTAACAGGTAAGTATTTATATGTAGCAGGTAAGTATTTGCAATGATGAATGTAAAATCTCTTTCTTTTTCAGGTTACCAGGCAAACAAACAACAAATTCAAAGAACCTTAAATATGGCTCTGACAGCGTGTGATTGTTCCATTTTCATGAATAGGCTTACCTGGACTGTCTGCCCTCGTGGCCTGATCGGCGTTGAGGTCGGAGGCTCATCAATGGTAACTGTAACCTCACTCACTACTGTAGTTTGAGGGCCTGTATTTGCAATGCATTTTACCACTATTACTATTATAATAATACACTATTAGAAATAATACACAATTAAAATAATATTATTTTACTACTATTACTACTATATTATCATTGTCAACATCACATAGTCAGAACAGAAGTTAGAACATAGCAAAAGTTAAACTAGGCACAAGAGAGTGGTTGCAAAATGAACAAAATCACAAACCTCCACTTTTCACATGATGGCGCAAAGTACCAAGAGAGAGCTGTGTACCCCTGTTACACAGACTGGGTGGGTCTGTTTGGCAAGACACATGCTGGAACCTCACTGTTGTCCCTGAGGTGGTCTGATTGACATAAACACAGAAAGAGAGAGAGAGAGAGAGAGAGAGTCAACACACAAGTGAAAATGTGTGTGTGAAAGTGAAACGATGTCCTGAAAATGAAACAGCATATACATTTTCAACAACGCCTGTTCAAAGAACATGCAAATGTACCAGGCTCGGAGTGGCTAATTGGGAGGACCGGGACAATTCCCGGTGGGTACTTACGGACAGAGCACTGGTAGACAGCCGGGATGGCACAGCTTCAGGCTTCAACAGCAACTTGGTTGCAAAGCCACTGTGAAACTGGACAAAGTTGGTGAAGTCCGTCTCTTCGAAATGCTGGGCACATACGGTTAACTTGGAGCTATAGCGTTTTGGTATGTATCCAAAAATAATCTCCAGCCATTTTTCTTTTAATTCGGGGTCTCTGGGCAACATGTGTAATGTCCTTGTTCGGTTTGAGCAAACCGCGCAATACCGCTGTCGTTCAGCCATTGCTAACACTACCACTTTGCACTTCCGTGGACGTCGTGGGCGCGGCTCACCGAGGGCGCGCTCATGAATAATAATGAGCAAGATCAGCTTGACGTCAGAAGGACCTGCTTTTTCAATTGGCCTGGTTCACCCGTTCTTTACTTTTAAATCTTTACAGAATGGGTAACGCCAGGTAACGCGTGCGAGCTCGTCCAGTCTCGCGGGATATATCGCAAATCTCACGAGCGCTTCTCACGATGGCGGCGGCGGGTCGGATCCCGTCGGCGCTGTATGCTTGCAGATCTGATCCGCCTGCCGGTCCGGAGCGGAGTCGTTCTGGATCCAGTGGGATTCCCGGGTAAGTCTCTGGATCCTCTGTTAACTTAAACAGCTGTTTGAGTTTAACAGCCAGAACAACATCAACAAATATTCCCTGCCCAAATCCACAGCGGTCTACATGCTGTTGTTTGGACAATAGCCAATTTCAGTGAAAAGGTAACTTTTCAAGACATCAAGACCCACCTACTCCTGCTCTGATTGGCCAATAATCTTTACTTCCTGAAGACACAAGGGATGGGATTGGTCAAATATAGCAAGAGAAAGCGAGTCAGCCAATCAGAGACAGTTGTGAAAATTCGCGGGGTTTTCAGGACGGGTATGTTTGTTTCTGAATTAGGCATACACCGGTTTGTTTTGGATCCATCCAGCAGCTCCTCAAGGGGGTTTTGTGAGACTTTGTCAACGGTTTCGACAGTCTGTGGTCCTGGATACCGAAAGAGACGGACAACACAAAAGCAGGCTGCAGAAACAAACCAGAGGTGAGTAGATACAATGACCTGACTCAAACCACTGCCTGTGTAGGGTAGTTGTTTGAATGAAAGTGCTGACCCAGCAAGCCCATTAGGTGGCGCTGTTGAGCTGAAAATATTTTTTTGATCATATCTGAACTGATGACAGTAGTGCTCTACTCTTTGCCTCCTTGCAAGGGTTAAAACTCATTGAATCCAGTTACTGAAAATACAAAGAGTATAAATATCAAATGGCCTGTTTAACTTTGAAAGCATGTTTTTGTCATATTTCTACCGAAAGTTTTGGCTTTGTGTTGAAAAGCAGATGGTATCCTGGTTTTACATGAATACTGATATTATATGTGGTAATGTGGATTTACAGGAACATAGTCGTCTTTGTGTTTTATCTATGGCCTCTGAATGCTCAGGAATTGCAGCCTTTCCAGTTTGTGCTACAGCTATTGTCGAGAAGTTGTGTTAGGTCCCTCTGGGCATATCACATGTGCTACTGATGTCCAAAAACATGCTAGGGTAATATGACATGGCTTGGTGGATTTTATTACTTTCTCTGCTTGATGTTGTAAAGATGTTTGCTTACTGGTTATCTGATCTAAACAGTGCTGCTTATAATTGTCCTGTGGAGGCCAGTCAATCAATGTCTCACCAAACATACATCTATGCCCCTGTGTAGCTATTATTTGTGCTTTGAGTATCTAGAAAGAAGAATATCCACTCAAATGTGAATCATAGTTTGCCTTTCTTGGCTTGCCCCCAAAAATATAGCAAGGTTGGGATTTTTTTTCTCCCATCGTAAGCTGATCAGCATTTCAGAAACCCTGTTTTTTGATGTCTTCTCTCACTGTCAGCGAATTTTTCTTAATGCGTCTGAACTTCAAAGGCCGATGCTCAGTAGGAATGTGTTGTTAAACTGTAAACATTATGATGGGGGCAATAAAGCAGGCATTGAACACAAACACTATGAGTGTGAGAAGATCATTTCCACGGTTTACACAACAACAAACCCACTCCTTTCATGGTGCTTGCGGTCAACATGAAGTTCCCATGTGACTGAGCTGGAGGGAGATCTAGAGAGAGAGAGAGGAGGGAAAACTGTTCTGAAAAGTGAAGAAAATGTCATTTTTACTGAGGAATGTGACCCTTGACTTCCATTCACATTTCGTCCTCCTTCATCATATCAATTCTGGGAAGGAGAGAGCCGGAGTCGAAACATGTCAGCTGCCTTTCACATCCACAGAGGAATGTTGGCGAGTCTTCACAATGTTGTCAGTCAGTGTGCCAGATAAGAGCTCTCAGTTCATAAATAAGATTGATGGCATTGCATACCACTAGTTCCTGCTCTGTGTTTTCCCATACAGGCCTCTATGTTGAAAGCATCCGCGCTATCTCTCCCGCTCATATCCTCTCTGCCCAAGTCCAGGCTTGCAGAGGTGTTTTAACCAAATTCCCCGTCCAATTAAGAAAACACACTCCAGCCTGATACGTGCCAAGCTTTCGCAGCTGTATGAAAACTCTCAAAGCTGGCACATAAAACTGGCCATAAATACTTTGATGAGGTTTAAGATTAATGGATAACGTGACACCACAAAGACACTCAAGTTTATTGAGCAGATCAGGGACCTTCAGAGTTTTAGAGAAATCCCCACCGTCACACAAAACCAACATTTGCTGTCTCATTAGTTACTTTTGCCATGTTTTTCTCCCCAATACTGATATTTTGCCAGATTTGACCAACATATACTTTCTTCCAGCACCACATCGATGTTTACTGGTAATGCAATGAATTTCCCTTAAAACAATGTTTTCTTTCAAGGCCCTAATTTTCCTATCATATATGGCATACTTAAACAGTATCAAAAGCCAGGCACAGTATGTATCAAAACCACAGCAATTCTACCAGTAATTAATTCAGTAAACAGCAGTGACAAACCAGATTTCTGTTTTCTGAGTGTGGTGTTCATAGACATAATATACATAGATGCCTCAAAGCCTGATGCTGCCTACTGGAGCTTGGGTCCCCTATGCCCCTCCAGCGTATTAAAGTAGGTAGGAATACCCAACCAAATTAATCATAACTCTCTGAATCTCTGCCTGATTTTCACACTGTTTGGTTTGTTATGAACAGCAGGGATGTAGCCGTAATACAGGACAATGTCACACATTAAAAATAACCAAAATTATGTTTCAGTTTTATTTGTGAAATTGAATCCTACATGATCTGGTTTCAAGACTGCGTCGGTTTTTTTAACCGTAGAGTGCAAAATTACAGGCATAGTTGCTCGTTCTCCATTGACTCCATTTGGCTCTTGAGCTACCCTGGAGTGGGGAGACCCATCCAATATGGCAGCGACGCTAAATTACACTCCAGCTTGTAATGAGGCGTCTACGTGTATAATGTCTATGGTTGTGTTTGTCCTATCTCAAGATAAATTGTGAATACCCATAGAGAAGTACTCTCCCCCAGTAGCTCCCTTTACAAGTGACAGTTCCACTTGTGTGTGGTTTACATTCGACTGATGTCTCGACTACAATAACACAAAGAAAACATTAGTCGTACCTGAAGAGACAGTCACTGTTTATTACCTTCACTCCAAACAGAGATCAAGGCATTAGATGAGCCCTTCCTCAATCAAACAACAGAGATGATGAACAAAGTGAAATGTAAGAAAGACAAGCAACAGTGGAGGAAGGAGGTCTAGAACATCATTGTCAAATTTTAATGTCATGTTGATTAATAACCTTTTGTGGCTGGTTTTATAGATTGCATGACAACTTATTTCTTCAACAGTTATAAACCCCAAATTTTGAATGCCTTGGTATTGCAACAGTATTGGTACCAATGCAGTTTTAAGGTTGAGGAATAAAGCAACCAACAATCACGGATGTCCAATAAATCCTTCAGTTTCAAGTAATATATTCACAAATGTAATGGAAGACAAAACCATGGGTGGTTTACCATTTCATGGCATCAGTGAACCATTGTGGTCACAAGTTTTTTGATAAAGCAGATGGGTAGACAAATAAAAAAAAAGGGTTTTAAATCGTTTTGAAAAGTTTAAAAAAGTTTAAAAAAGTGCAGTCATACATTGAAGTCCAGACTGTTCAGGTCAAAGGCTGTCTCTAATGCTGCACTTAGTTCAACATTGAAGCAACTGATAATAACAATGTGTGAAATCATATCTCTCATGGCCACATTTTGTATCTCACTCACATAGTGCGTAGACAAATGACTGGCAGACATGTGAGTCGACTCTGATGTCACTATATCAATCTGTTATTGTTATGCTGTTTTGTGAAGGTACATTGTCAGGGAAGCTCAGCTGCTCCAAACTGGTATAAGTCGATATCTGTGCTTGTGTGTGTGTGTGTGTTCGTGTGCATGACAGTGAGGAAAAGATATAACCTGAAACAGATACGCACGTCCTCTCCATTTGCTCGTTTTCATATCCAATAGCCCAGCCAGGGACTCTGCACAAACACCTCTGGGTGTGAGTTAAATTGGAGGTGATAAAAGCATGTAGGAATGCAGCACACGTTTGCAAAGGTGCGCAGCGCCACGGAGGAATTTTCAAAAGGCATTAGCAGCTAATCTGGGAGAAACCTGTCTTTGTCACTTCTAGGGTTACGTGTCCATGTGAGAATGCGATCTATGTCAAGCACGCTCTTCATGGCAGGAGGAGAACAAGAGAGCAGGCCACCCGAGAAAGTTGAACCCAAAAGAATGCAGCTCTGGTATTCATTAATGAAGAGCACTCTTCTCTGCTGCAACAAGAGCACAGGAATGAGGAGATAAAGTAACAACATGAGAGAGGAGGGAAGTAAACAGGAGACAAAAGATTCACATTTACCAGAATAGACTGTGATCATCTTCGCATCAGCTGATAGAGGGAAGAATGAGCCAAACAAATGAAGTATATTAGAATAGTTTATTGCTTTATGAAATGTTGCAAGATTTCAACTGCAGTAACCTTCATATGGGTTGAAGTTCACAGAAATGTCTGTTTTTTTTAAGTCAACACTTGGTTGGTTGTGTACAGCTTGACATGACCGTGATTGTCGGCACATAACTTAATGACAAACATACATAAACTCTTTGGCATCCTGCTCAAAGCACTACCATAACTAAAATAATACAAACTTCTGTATAAAATATATAATAATAATAATAACAATAATAATAATTAACCTGTTTGTTAGTTCAAAGCTCACAGTAAACAACACGCTGTAGTTTTCAACTTCTTTTCCCTCAGTGGTGACCAAACCAGCAGAATCACCGCATCGGGAAACACACTCACATACTGTAATCACACATGCAAACATACTCTGAGAAGTTATCAGGGAAAAAAAAGCAACAGATGATGAAATCAACACCATGATACAGCACCCTCCCAACATTACAAACATTTGGCAAAAACAAAAAAAACAAAAAGAAAAACCAAACTGTCTTTCATATAATCTGCATCTCTCTGTTCAGGTGGATCTAAAACTTCAGCAGAACCAGCTCCTTCAGTTCAAGAAACACGAACAGGGAGAGCGTTACAATCAGCAGTGTTTCATGTCTTATCAATTTAATTTATTGAAAACAGGTAAGACTTTCTAAACAGATAAGATCCATGTGAGGGGGGTGAGATTACTCAGATTGATGCCGTATCATTTGAAGGAGAAGAGGGGCTGTGGGTCAAATTGATAACCTTTCATTAAATATTTGTCTGGAGGAGCTTGAGGCTTTACAAGATATTTAGGGAATTTGGAATCTAGACAAGATAAATATGTAGCTTCTTAATTTATTAGATTATGAAAGGAGAAAAGGGGTCATAAAGAGGGAAAGCAGCAATACTATATATAATTATATAAATATTTAGGCATACACTCTCTGAGAACATGTTGCCTGATTACAATCCACAATACTGTCCAAGTACCTCAAAAGATTCACCTTTTCTCTCCTGACTGGGCAGACTGCCTGCAGTTGTCCAGTTCAGTGAGGGTTAAGAGTGAGTTAGAGCACAGCTCTCTAAAATATGAAAATAGTCCTTTTTTCATTCATTGGCCTCTTTACTCAACATTCTTGTTTAGTCCGTCCTCTTTTCACAGATCTGCTGATTTCTTTTTCTCTTGTTCAGAATTCACTTTCCAACTCTTTATATGAAGATTTCCACTGCCTCTGACTCCAGCTCATCCAGGCCTTTGAAGGGGTTTAACTGCATCTTTTTAGGTACTGCCTTGTCTACAAAAAAGGAGGAAAAAAAGAGTGAATCATTATTCAGTTGAAAAGTATCAGCGATTCAGCTTAACTTTCATGTCTACAGGTTAACAAAGATTTTCCACTGTCAAAAACACTGACAATGTGCTCAGTCAACAGATCTACACTATTTCCTAACCATGCACATTCCTCATGGCCCGCATGATGAACTGTGACCTGCACACATGCTATCTGATTGGCTGCCTTAGAGGCGGAACGGTTAATCAATGTGGACATCCACAAAGTCGGGGTCCAAAACTCGCTCTATGCAGACAGAAGAGTGCATTCCTCCGCTCTGTTCTGCATGTGTGCTAATCATTTATCATTCAAGTTATACACGCAGAGCATTATGGGATTATTGGCTCTCCTTGCCAAATATACTCATGCATTTTTGATAGATCACTCACCATTGTTGAGCTTAGTGATGTTGGCAGTCTCTCTAGGTTTGGTTCCTTCTACCTGCCGCTCTAATGTTCCGGGTTCAGACTGAGCGGAGAACTGACGGCTCGGCAGGGTCTGATCATCGGAGAGACTCTTCCCTTCAAGTAGAAAAGGATCAGTCAGTGGGGTACTCTCACCGATAACAAAGATGTTACTATGCTTTTACGCAAATTTGACTCGATCTAGATGTGCTTGAAGAAGGCAACACGATGCTGCTCACCTCTAAGCTTCGTGCTGCTCGCTGTAATGCTGATGGCGGGAGTGGAGGAGGCAGGTCGAAGAGGAGCCCCCGCCATATTCAAAAGATTTGTACGGTAACTTTGCTCTTCCCTCTTGCCTTGGTCCTGGTGCAGCCGCTGGTTGAGGATCTTGATCACAGCGTCCTTTTCTAAGATCTGAGCATAGAGCGCACGGATCCTGTGGAACAGAAACAGGAAAAAAATCGTGTCAAGAAAAGAAACACCGTGAGAAAAGACGCCAAAAAGGTTGATCTTCTTGAAATAAGAGTTTAAAATGAGTGCACACCTGTTCTCCATCTCCTGATTCCTGTAGTCAGCGACTGGCAGCTCCTCGTTGAAGCTGTTGTTAGAGGAGTGGCAGGGCGAGTGGTTAATGATGGTGGTGTCTCTGCAGAAGCAAAAGACTTGACTTAACTTTGACTCAAATCCCTTTAGATATATATACACTGCGTGCTCTCAGGATTTTACAGCAAATGCCAGGAGAAGGTGTTCTTTACCTCTGAGCAGCAGCAGTGGCAGCCACCTCCATCGCAAACTGCCTCATGGTGCTCTCTTCAAGATACTTCTGCTCCCAGCGGACCATATCAGCTTCCAAGGCCAGGATTCGCTCCTCTCGCTCACGCAATCGCTCTTGCAGGGAACCCATGGTCACTCCTGGTGGCTGGGACTGCCTCTGTAGTGGACAGAAATAAAGTTGACTGATAAGTTCTGGTACAGAAATGTGAACATCAATAATTCTGGCAGCATTTTGCAAAAGCTATGTACCTGTTGTGCCCTCAGACTCCTCAGCTCCTGCTCTAGTCTTGTCCGTAGCTTCATCTCCAGGCTCTCCCTTTTTTCACAGGTGGACTGAAGCTGAGCCAACGCGCTCTGAAGCCTCTCCACCTTCTCCACGTAAGCCCTCTTCCTCCTCAATTCCTCCTCGAGCTGGCGACCCCGTCCGCGAGCAGTCTCCAGGGCCTCCTCTAGCCGTTTCGCTCTGGTGCTTTGCTCCTCTGCCGTGGTGCGCAATCGCTGCACCTCCCGCTCGATGCGCTCCCTCTCAAAGTTCTGCTCCTCATCTGAAAGGAAGAAAAAGACAAGGCGGCTGGGTTAATTACATGCTTAGAGAATAGTTTGAAAAATGATTTTCAAATCCGCATGAGGTTTCTTTTACAAATTCGCCCCCTCTTGAGTGAAACCCCAGTAACAAGCACCAGATTTGCTACATGGTGGCCAATGTTCTTCATTTAGTGAAGCACTTCTGGAATGCTGAGTGGATAAAGGAGGAGGAGGAAGGGGGAGAAAGCCGCCCTATCCCTTTGACCCACATAGCGCACAGCATTCCTCATCAAGGCCATACAAACAGCAGCACTCTGCTTGAGTCCAGTTCCTTAAACAGACAATATAAATCACACTAACAACAGGTGGGGGAGCCTCGGCTTCACCGCTTCCACTGCTAATCTGTGATTTACAGCCCATTCATTTCCTGCAGCATGGATTGAATTCCCCTTTATTTAGCCTTCTTGCCAAATGACCTTGTTATGCAAGTGAAATTCCTGCATACAGGATGTCAAAGCAACAAAAAAGGATCCTTAAGTTATATTATGATCCAATCCAATCTGATTTAGTGCTGATCACAGTGACTTGCTTTTGCAGCTCTTTGTGTTCGGGGAACCAACATTTGGTATGAGTTACCTGCAGTTCTCAAACTGGATCCTATCGCAGGAGCAGATTTTTAGGAGGGCTTTTCCTTGTAGTCATTGTTGTCAGATTCAAACATTTGAAATTAGCTTAGAGTATGAGCCGAACTAGACGGCGATCTTACTTTGTTCAAGGAGCTTCGCCATGATGTGCTGGTTATGGTCGGCTACTTCTACTTCTTTTGCGACATGAGTTCTGGCGTTTTCCAAGTTTTCTGTGAATGAATATGTTTCAAAATTAGTTTTTTTCAAACATAAGATTTTCTTTGCATAAAATGGTATCATAACATATATGCCATACCTCTAAGGTCTCTGTTGAAGTCCTGTAGCCTCCTGACTTCAGCCACCAGTCGTTTTCTCAGTGTTTGCTCCAGGTTCTCCCTCTTACTGCTGCCCTGCATCAGTGTCTCATAGGCCTCTGATATACGCTGGATCTCCTGCTCCAACTACAAAAAAAAGACAAGACAAGAAATGGGTTAAAGTAGGAAATAGAGAGGAGGACGTGAATAGAGGACAAGAATTTTGGGTTGACCTTCTTCGCAAGCAAGAGAGGCTCTGGAATGTTGATTCATGTTGCTGTACATACACGGCGTACGATAAACATATGGGCACATATGTGGTTGTGTGTTTACAGTAAACTCGGTTTGTGCGCGCTTGTGTGTGCATGTGTGGTACAACTCCAAGAAAGAATTCGCGCCCGCACCACTCCCTGTGAGGCTGATTTATATCTACATTCCTGAGGGCTGATAGCGCTGGTTCCAGGTGTGTGAGCGCACAAGAGTGCACATTTACAGGACACACTACAGAATGCGCACACAAGAACCCGCATACACACACGCATGCAGAGGTCCGGGAGGGCTGCCAGCGGAGGGAAGGTGTGCATGCCTGTGCCTGGAGTTGTGGAAACGGCAAAGAGAAACCCACCATTATAGCAGTCACACAGGCATGTTTACTCAGGGCTGCGGCCTGACGGAGAAAACTTTCCAACCCTGGCAATTATCATTCTTTAAGGCTGAGACAAGGACCATGTGACATAACTCCAGCAGAGAGAGGGTGGATTTTTACAAAGATTGGCTAAGGTGTCAAGTGTCTGGGAAGCTGTTTCCACCATGTCAAACAAGAAAATCTCTTGTACTGGGCCCGTTTTGCTGTCAGAAGATTGTAGCTAAAAGACAAAGGTAGAAAAACAACAGACCTTTCACTTCTAACGCACCACCTGCTACAGAGACCCCCACCCCCAACAGCTGTATGCACAGGTCACAACCCAATCGACTGCCGCCTGACAAGCCCTAGATTACACCAAAAATCTATGGCCTCCATGGAAGCACGCACACACACATGAGCGTGCTCTCTGGCCTCTACCAGGTCAGCCCCACAATGAGAAGAGTGTGTAAACACAGTAGCAGGCTGTGACCTCTGTTTGTGCCTCTGTGGTATGAAAGGTAGCAGCTGCTGATCTCATCTGTCCTGCTTCAACTGAGGGAGTGTGCCTGGAGGTTGGACGGCAGGGAAGACAACTGTCCGCTGGAGTTGTGTTTCATAGACATGTGGCTGAGATGCTTTCCCTCTGAATTCACTTTTTAAGTATTCAGCTGCTGTCAGTAACTTTAGAGTTTAACAGGCGCGAGGAAACATCTGTTAGGGATGTCAGCTGTATAAAATACCACTTTCACTTCTACATCTTTCACTCTTACCTTCTGTATACGGCCAGTCTTCTCCCTGTGGGATTCCAGCTCTTGCCTCAGCCTCTCATTCTCTATCAGCAGCAGCTCCACTTGGTTTGGCTCCTCCAGGCCAGCAGGGGGCAGGCTAGTGAATGTGCTGTAGCAGGGGAGTTCAGTTGGCTGAACAGACTGGACGAACCTACAAGAGGAGCGATAGAAACGTATATGTTAACTTGAAGCTGTTTTTGATGATTTGAAATGTCTTTTGCAAGTTGAAAGTGTGAGTTTTTTCTTTTTTTTTTTTTTTTGAAGCCAGATCTCAAAAATCTGTCGCTATTTCCTACCAGCAAGCAGACAAGCTGACTCTAGTGGCTGTGAAGAATGTAAAAGCCTATATGAGGAACATACTTTAGTAAAAGCATCTGAGGCAACCCAAGCATGTGAAACTATCCTGTTCCAGTATGCCTGGCATTACAACCAGCTACAGGGTTGGACTTGTTTTGCTCTAAGTATGTCAAGAAGGAAATCAGTACGCTGTGACTAACATCAATAAGTATGTGTTTACGCATGTGAAACACAATGACGAGTCCTGGAGCGTGATTACACTGCTGGCGCTCGTACAAAAACTACACCACAAAACATGATGTAATGTTAAAGTAGTTTCACACACATGATCGTGTTTTTCAAAGTTGTCTCTGTACCTGTGCTGCTGTGCTTGCACCGGCTCCTGGACCTGCTGAGTAATAAATCCTTGGCCCTGGATAGGGACTGAGTACTCTGGAGGTGGGGTGCGCTTATCCAGGCTGGGTCCTATGCTTAGAAGGCCCTGGGGTGAGTAGTAGGGAAGCTCAGGGTAGCTGTGAGAGGTGCTCTTGAGGGCCTCAGCCTTTGCAGCAGCATCATTCCTCTCCAGAGATATCTGCATGCGATGCTCGCTGAGTGACCGTGCATGACTGCACTTTAGCTCCATTGGATCAGTCTCTTCATGAAAAGCCCCCTCATGTAGGAGAGTCCCCTCGTGGAGCTGCCTGATTGGGCCTGTGGTTCCCCAGTGAGTGGCCAGGTACTGAGAGTGTGCCTTGGCCTGCTCATATGTTGGCAGTTCTTCCCCGTGCAGCTGGTAGAGCTGGTAGCTGCTTTCTGAATGATGGTAGTCCCCCTGGTGCTCCTGGCCCTGAGGTTCCTGCCTTGCAGAGAGCTGAGGAAAAGGAGGTTCCTCTTGGGTGAGACTCTCCAAAGAGGATCGTGGGCTCCTGCCCATGTCACCTCCACTGCTGGGTCCACTATTGCTACCGCTGCCTCCACGCAGGGCCTGCTGCTGGATGGCCAATAAGGTGCGGGTGTCTGTAGGGTTTCCATAGCGAAGCTGCTCCTGGATGAGCCGGTGTAGGACTGTCCCAGAAGGCTCTTCAGTGGACGACATATTTCTTGGTGTTTTCTCCTAAACAGATGAGTTCGTCGTTTATATTTGTGCAAAAATTAAATAAAAATCAGCTGTGCACCTGAAACAGAGCAGATTAAAATAGTCACTTTGAGAAGGAAGGGTTAATATACACAGCACAAAACAGTCAACAGTTAGGAGAAGGTATTAATTCAGTCACATGCAGATGAATGGAGCCTGTCCATCAACCATCAAGGCCTTTGGCAATAACAGTAACACTTGCAACATGCAGTATAAGGCATGCTGTCCTTATGCTTATTTAAAATCATAACAAGCTCTGTAAACATGGTTTTAGTTTGAGTATAATGTGAAAACAGCATATCCTTAAGAAAGCTTCCCAATAGCGACAACACAGAACTGTGGACACATTTTTCACAGCAGGCTGAAGCAGCATGCGCCAAAAATTCCGATCTCACGGGGGAGCAAAAGCTCCCAAAACCGCACAGTAAAATAACTTCATCTTTACTCTTAGAGCGCAGTTTGCGGTTTTAAAACACTACAAATAGCCTTTCAACCCACAAAAACTCTTTTTACTTTCAATCTATTAAACAAGAAAGCTCTAGTTCGCTACTGTATTTACATTTTGTCCGTCTTTACGTCGTAGAAAAGGCAGAAAAAGACGCTCGACTTACCAGCTCACGCTCTCATCGTAACCAAAGGTTGTTCCTGGCTCTTTTAGGTACAAAAATGACAAAAGTACAAAAGTAATTCCACTTGAGTGAGTTTTTCTCGAGTCAAACGTGTCTCATCGTCCTCCCCCGGACGGGCTGCCTCGCTCTCTTGCTGTGAAATGATTGTGAGGAGAGCAGGCGGCGATAATAAGTAACCGAGGAGGGACTGAGGTCGGAATGCCAGGAATGTAAAACGCGAGGTCCCTCTGGGATCAAAAGCGTAAAACCACACGAGAGAGAGGGAGGGAGGGAGGGAGAGAGGGGGAGGAGGGAGCCAGCAATGAGCTTTAACGTTACCAATGAGCAGTACTAAAGTGGAGAGAGGGGGTTTGAACATTCAGCGACTGCGTTTGAGGAAAAGGCAGGATAGTTTCCCCTTTGTGTAATATTATTTTCTGTTTTCCAGCCGCAGAGGTGTATGCACTTTTGAATCTATTTCTAAAAAGTTTTCTCTGCAAAATAAAATGGATCTAGTGCAGAGTGCATTTATTTTCTAGTAGTATTCATTTTAAGTGAAAAGCTAGATAAAAAGGGAAGGTTCAGCGAAAGGTAAAATTATAACTGTATAAAGTAGCTCACTTAACATGACGTGACTTTTTCTGAGTTGGTAGCCTAAATAAGTCTTCACTAGCATTCCATTAAATTTTGATAACATTAATTTCCTATAAATCTTATAGTGCATTTCTTATTTTCTTTAGTTAGACATTGTGTTTGAACCCAGAGAGAAAGTTTCCACTATCTTTGACAATCTGCATGATCCTCCTTGCATTTATATTTTGTATTTATTTATTTTTTCGCCATTGTTGGTAAGAATAGAGCCAATGATATCCTGTCTGAAGAGATGGATATGCAAGGCAGAGCCGGCCCAAGCCTCAATGGGGCTATTTCTGCCAATAATATTGATTGTTGATCACCCACACCCCCTCACAAATCTCTTCAACATTCCATGACATGCAAACATACCTTTATCTTAGCGTTTTTTTCTCTTCTTCCTCTTTCTCTTTCTTTTCTCTGCTCCTGAAGGATATGTCCCTTTTTGCGACATTGTTTTACCCCACAACTACCTACGCTTTGGATACTCAGTGCACATTGCAGAGCTTTGACATATCAGCAGTAAGAATCATAGGCGTACATCAGCAGCAGCACTAAAATCATTTTACTTTATTTTATTTTTACATTTTTTTTTGGCATTGTTGGTAAGAACAGAGCCAATAACATCGTGTCTGAAGAGGTGGATATGCAAGGTAAATAATCCTACTATCAAAAAGAAACTTTTCAGGCACAGATGTAAAGACAACCACTTGCAGCCTGTTGACACAGTCCAGTCAGTGTAATTGAATACTAAATCCCACCTCTTAGAAGGTAAATGGCTAATCATAGTTAAGGATTTCTGAAGCTTTTACCTGCGTATTTAACAACCATGCTTTAAACTTTTCATCGCCAAGATTTTTAATGATTGAAACGTATGACTGGCATTATAAAGAAGGGTGAGATTTAAAAAGCACTTCCTATGCATGTACAGGACTTAATGAGCAAAAGATGGTAAGTGCTACTTTTGTCCACAGGGGGCATCAAACTCAAGACAGACAGAAAGTTCCTCTCAGGGATTTTAATGCAAAACTCTGAATAAAAACAAACTTGTCTGAGTCTCTGCAATTGTGTTAAGCCTCTGCATGCCTTCTCTCTATACGTGTGTGTGTGTGTGTGTGTGTGTGTGTGTGTGTGTGTGTGTGTGTGTGTGTGTGTGTGTGTGTGTGTGTGTAAAGCAGCTGTCCCCAGGAATCTGGGTTCTGTGTGTGTGTGTGTGCCCCATTACCACAAACACAGTGGCTCTTTGTACTGGACATCACACTACACGGTGCAGAACTGAGCCTGCAGCATGCCAGACATGGGCACTCCTGCCGAGACACAGATTCAAATCTCAAATATGCTGGGGTCACACTCCTGCTGAGACCAGATTACACACAGCTTCACATACAGTACATGGACGGACAGATGCTCAGGCTGATGGATGAACCGCCTTTATCTGTCAACTAAGTCATTCATTTGGTCATACAGCTTATGCATCTCCTCCAGATCATAGACAACACCACATTGCTGTATGACACATGTTTATTTTTGGCTCTCCAAAGAGATGAATGATGTCCCGCCTTAAGGGTGAAATCTTTTATGACGGGCTTTATTTTTGTCCGAGCAGAGCTATTTATTACCCGTTTGGAGCTAACGGCTGTTATAATGAGGACTTTAGACTCTGACTTTTATTGTGGGCCCTTTAAATAGCAAAGATGTCAGTCATAACGCACTAATCGTGTCTTTAGGCGGTGGAGGGACACAGACAGAAACATGGATCCTGTTTGTGAACAGTCCACTCAGTCTAGCGCAAGTAAAACACTAACTAAATCAGATTAATTGGGTGCGATCAACAACACAGCAGGCCTCAGTTATTGATTGTTGTACGGTATGCAGCCACTGGCCTCAGGCTGGTCATCACAGCAGACCTAAAAAAAACTCCCCGCCCCATGAGTTATTATTGATCGTATGAGTCCACAATTATCTCTCGGTCTCTCATACCCTTCTTAGTTAAGCACACACAAACACACACAGATTCCCTTCATGTTTTAAATGCTGTGTATTCCTGAGTGTGCTCTTGGAGGAACTTGCAGACACTGCGTCTCTGTGGGCGGCACTCACATGGAGGCGACTGGTCAGCAAAGTGGAACATGTTTGCATTTCCTCTTTAGATACTGTGAAGCAGCACAGTCTCCACCTTTTTAAAAGTCTGCCCATGTCATTTAACACCATCTCACGACTTCCTCTGCTCCCTGTGTATGCAAGTGAGTGTGTGTGTGTGTGTGTGTGTGTCTGCAGGACAACGCCTCTGGCCATTTTGTCTCCTTTGTGCCACATTTCCTGTGAACTTCCAGAAGAATGCAGGGCTGACCCTTTGAAAATTATGGACTCTTTCAAAAAGTCATTACAGGAGATGGACGTCTAAAGTGGCCTGTCACAAAAATACCGCAATGACTGTCTGTGGAGCCCGGAGCAGACAAAACTTAAAGGTCGCGAGTTATCCCTTGTTTGTTTAAAGAGAGGGAGGCGTCGAGGAATATTTGAGGATTCAAAATACGAAATGAAACACAATTATGTTGTTGCTATACACAGTAAAAGCATACGGCTCTTGAGGTTTTGGTGGAAACACCAGCACAAATGAGGCAACATCGAGAGAAGTCAAATTACCAGTTACACATTTGGAAACAGTCTGACTCTAAATTTACTCAACTGGGCAGTGTGTTAAACTCAGTATAAAAATGCTTTAGTCAGAGGGAGGGAGGCAGGAAGGCGAAATTCTTGTGTGTGTGTGTGTGTGTGTGTGTGTGTGTGTGTGTGTGTGTGTGTGTGTGTGTGTGTGTGAGTGAGTGTGTGTATATGTGTGTGTTTCTCCTCAGAAGGGGAGGCCTTAAAGCTGCAGGTTGCTATTTCTTATTCAAAATGAGCTTTATCATTGATTCTCGAAATGTCCAGTACAAAGTTTGGATAAATAACACAAAATTTAACTATATGATCAAACACAGCAGAATTTTTTTAATGCTGTATAACTATAAAGAGACATGCTTAAAGCAACGGTAAGACGGATCACATAGCTGAGATCAGAAGTCACTCTTAAAGTTATGAATATAAAAGCATATTTTGGCTCAGCCTCTGTCTTAAATTGTGCAAACCAAATAGCTCTGTAGCTACGGCAGTGTTAGAAAAACTCAACCCTCCCAGCTGAGACTCCTCGTGTATCAAAACCTCTTGCCAGCAGCACGGTATCAGCTACTGGCAGCTAAATGTCTGGGTTAAGTTTCAGGGATAGATTAACGCCGTGCTTACACAGTAAACCAGTCAACTCTTTCATGAATGGCAGGTGAGATTACTCCATGAGAGTTAGAAACCACAAACTGCCGATTTGCCAAACCACAAGTCAGCTCAACAGACGTTGTCTGTTTACACGTTAAAACGGTTAAGAGGGATAACAGGTTGTGGTGGTGCAGAGTAGACGATGTAATGCTCCTGTGTGAAAACCCAAAACACGGCTACTGTGAGTTTCAGTACATAGAGAATAAACTTTAAAGCTATTTTAAGGTGTTGTAGCTGTTTATAGGACAAACTGGAGTCTACACTGATTTATTTTTATGGCTTGAAAACGAAAAAGAGATCACTGACACGGAGAATGAAAGTTGTTTTAATCCCTGCTTGTCATAAATACACAAACTTGATAGTCGAATGGTTTGAAATACATTATGATGCCTCAGCTGGACATGATGTTTTGTCTGAGGGCCGTTTCACATGTCATTGTTCAGATAAATGATGGCGTAGGAGAGATTTGTACTGTTTTAATCAAACACCAACAGCAAATGTCCGTCTCGCTGTCTCTGTTTTTTATCTCATGCTCTGTGAGTGCTCTCAAAGATGATCTGAGAATAAAATGTGTCTGATGAGGTTGTAGTAACAGGATGTAAGAAACAGTGTGGACACGTGGGAAAGAATGACACAGAGTGGCAGACAAGGTCATCTGATACGACACGATTGGTGAGGAATGTAACTGATTGGGGGTTGAAAGAGTGGGGTGGACTCTTCCCCTTGTCTCTCACATCCATGGACAGCTTCCTCTTTCACACAGGACACAATAGTTCAGGACGAGACGGTTGCATTCCAGTAGTATCCTGTTCTCAGGAAACCTCAGACGACAAGCTTCCCGTGTGTTCGAATTTCGCAACGGCTTGGACAGTGATCTCCAGGTGAATTGAAGTCCTGGCAGATCGGCTTGAGCAAATCAAAATCCTCTTTGAAACCTTAAGATCAAAATGATCACTTTAAAAAGCTCATAGCTTCTTGTAGAGTAAAAGATGAGCAATCGCTACTTGTCACAGCAAGTGTTAAAGGGAATTTCCAGACGTTCGCAGCAAACAGACTTCAGACATGAGTCACAAGAGATGAATTCCTGTGAGAAAGCAAAGATGACAGAACAGATGTGTAGTTCAGACAGGTTTGGTGGAGTGACTCTCACAGCTGATTACAAATAAGTGTAAAATTCTGTGTATGGAGGGTTGGGAACAGGCATAAAGGGTAAAGTCTGACATTTAAGGGAATACTGTAGATACATTCAAAAGGAAAATCAGCATTTATAATTCACAGTTAGCAGCCGGCTAGGCCAGTGAACCA